AACTTTCCTTGCAGTAGATGAAGCTATTGATTCAGTACAATAATTAACATTAAAGACCTAATAATATACAATAATTATCATTAAAGACCTAATAATATACAATAATTAGCATTAAAGACCTAATAATATACAATAATTAGCTTTATTATTATTGTTGCTATTTTCTTTGAAATTTCATAGATTGGCCTACACTATCTACATAAATTAAAAAAAAATGAGGTTTTATTATATCTTTATTTTCTTTTATATATATATATTTATATAGATATATAACAATTTTAGAAATCTATGATAAAGTTCGTTATTAAACATCACTTTTTTATGATCAGAAACTAAATCCTCAAGGACAAAATATATCACACAAAAACATTTTCCACTTTGTCCTAAAAGACCAAATTCCAGCAAACATTAAATTATCAAGAAAAACTGACTGAAAATACACCAGTTAAATCCAAAAATAGAAACCCCTCCCATTCTGCAAATTATCTACCATTAATATAGGAAAATTAAAAAAAAAATTATAGAAAATTACTTTAGTAATAACAATACATGAATAAAATCTTTAATAAAATAAACTTGAAAATTAGTTACTCATGTGTAAAAAATATGGAAAAAATTATAAATTCCCACAATAATAATCTGATTAAAGAATTTCATTTGAATCAAATATAAGAAAATACTTCTACCTAAAAAAAACCAAAGAAATGAAAAGTGGGAGGATTATGTTTGATATAAAATACAGATTATGAGGCCAAAATTTTCCCCAAAGAAAATATAAACCAGAGAAAGGTTTATATTGGAATATCTGATGGGGATTGGAACTATCACCATTCCTTCAAAAACAAATCCCACAAGAATCAAACAGCACTAAATAAAACCTTTATTGGGATATCAAAAAAAATTTCACTTTAGATTGAAATGAAAAAATTAAAAAAAAATTAATAGAAAAAAACTTTAGAAAACCATATGATCTCTGCATTAAAGAAAAATATTAGTCATCAAATACAAGTTCTTTTTATGATTTTTACTGAAATCACCAAAATGAAATCATCTTCAAATGCAGACATAAAAACAAGTTCAAAATAACAAACTATACAAAAAAACTTTTTTTGTCGGACTTAGATCATGAAAAATATAGGATTTTAAATGATTTTACACCAAATAATACCAAATTTCTATATGTCTGATTAAGAACTTAGGTTAAACAATTTATGTGTAATTGTTTTCTATATATATATATATATATATATATAATATTTATATATATATATATATATCCATATATTTGTATATGGGTAATAACAATATATGTATATGTATATATGTGTGTGTGTGTGTGTGTATATATATAATATATATATATATAAAAAATAAAAAGCATAAATATGTGTGTAAATATTTTATTTATTTAATCATTTTTGTAATTTGTGTGTGTATAATAATAATATTATTAGTGCGCAAATTTTTGTGTGTAAATTTTTTTTATATGTATGTATATAGATATATATATGTAGACATATTCATAACATAAATGTAAATATATGAATTTAGGTTTATATGTTGTATGCATATACATACATATTTAAGATATATATGTTTTATTTTATGCACTTTTTTTATATAATAATAATTTTTTATATCATTATGTAAAAAACAATTTATAAAAATAGGTATATGTATGGATACAGAGTGCTTTTTTTTCATTTGAAATAAAGATTTTTCCCATCAAAATAAAGTTACTAAATTTAATTTTAAGCAACATTTATTCATTTTTTATATTTTTATTTTAAGATTTTACTCTTTTTTTTCATCTAATTATTATCATTCTTTTTATTATGATGATTAATAATATTATTATTATAGTAGAAATATGTAGTTTCTGATTATTAATATTAAATTTATATTAAATATTTAATTATTTAAAAATATTAAATATATTTTTTTTTTACCAATTATAAATTTTATTGTTCAAATTTAAATTTTTAACGTTAGCATTAAAAAAATTGTTATTAATAATCTTGTATTTATGTTTAAATTTTAAAATTTATTTTTTTTTTAATAATCTTTAATATATTTCCTATATTAATTACAATTGTATTAATCAGGATTAATAATATTATTAATATATATTATTTTGTCCTACTTTGTCAGTAATTTTTTAATTTTAAATTTAACTATAAATTATAAATGTGTGTTTTTCAATTTCATTGTCACAAATCTCTTCCTTCTTTTCCAATTTATTTATTTTAATTAATTCTTTATTTAAAGAACAGAATAACTGTATTTGAAAACATTTGTCTTCTTTGTCAAGATTTTTTAAAAATTATTTATTTTAAAAAAATAAGTTTACATTCTATTTGAAAACACTTGAACCTACATAAATTATTTTATTTAAAAACAACCCTATTTAATTATATAATTAATATATATATATATATATATATATATATATATATATATGTATATAAAAAAAAAGAAAAGAACAGTAAGATATATAATCAATTGTTCTTATAGATATTTTATTTTGGACCCAAAAATAGTGCTCAATGTAAATTTATATAATATTATAAATTAATTGATTTAAAATTTTTTTTCATACACAGTAAAAATCCATTAAAAAAATAGAAGCTAAAAGCCATTGAATTTAATTTTGCAATTAAATTAAAAGCATTAGTTCCATTTCATTCAAGTGAATTTTTGAAAACTTTAAAAATTACTGGGTTTTAAAGATACAGCTAAAAGACATTTTTCCATGGCGGACAGAATATTCCACTTGAATTGGACAGAATTTTTTTATCTTTACTGTTCTGCCAAAAATTATTTTTGTTGATTGAAAAAATAAACAAAAAAAATGTAGGGATATATTTTTCAATAAAAACAAAACATTAAAAATGTTATATTGTCTAAATTTTTTTTGGAAAATTATTGTTAATAATAAAAAAAATAAAATTTTATTTTTTTTTAACCCCATTTATAAATTTAAAAGATTTTAGATGTGTTGAGGATGAAATGAAACTATATGATAAATTAATTTTAATAGGAAAAATGAGATAGAATGTTTTTAGATCTTTTATTTGATAAAGATAAACATGTTATAAAAAATTTTTGTAAAAAAAATTATTAATATCCAAAATTTATATATATATTTATATATATATATATATATATATATATATATATATATTAAAAGATTTTAGATTTTTTTTAGTCCTTATAGTGGATACATTTTGTTGTTATACCTGTTAAAAAAATTGAAGGATTTTGGATTTTAGAAAAAAAAAACAAAAAAAAACTCAAAATAACATCTGCTTTTTCAGGATAGGAAATCATGCATAAGACTTTAAAAAGAGGACATGATATAATTGTAATTAGATAGATATGTGTTTTCGTTTATTGTCATTAAATCCACCTATAGAGGTTAAGAAAAGATAATCACTATTCATTATACATATTGAATTTATATAAATATAAAAATATTTATTAACACATTTTATATATATATATATATATATATATTATAGAAATTTAGAGAGAGATAGAGGAATTATTATATATATGTTATTTTTTACCAAATATGCTGTACGTTCACTACTTGTTTTAATTTGTCATTAAATTGAAATTAACAAAAACCAGTTTCTGGAAGATGTTGTAGGAAAGAATAATTGTGTCTCCTGTCTGAATTGAACCTGCATCCCTTTTGGCTATAGGGAATGAACTTTTGTGTGTGTAGTATATATATATATATATATATATATATAATGTGTGTGTGTGTGTGTATATACATAATATATGTTTTGTATAAATAGATGTGTGTATGTATGTCTGTAAAATGTATATGATATATATATATATATATATATATTGGACATGCACACACATTTGTATATTTGTTTGTTTATATACATATGTGTATGTGTGTTTGCACATGTATGAATAAATTCCTTTTAAATTTTTATATATGTAAATATGTATGTATTTATGTGCATGTATAAATATGTGTATGTCGTTAAAATAAAAAAAATGTTTATATATATCTATATTCATGTCACTCAAGGACACATGACACAGTGGATAAAGGTGTTGATTAGATCCAGTGACAAGAAAATAAGTGCAAAAGTTCAATACCCGGTTAAGCAGTGAAGAATTTGGAAAAAAAATTAACAGGAAAAAACTGATAACTGACATTTTTTAAACATGGCATTATGGAACTAGAACAGTCTACCCCAGTGAGTACAAATAAAGGGGTTCATTTAAAGACTTTTCCAAGCACCTGAGAACTCCATTTATGTGTCAGCTGAAACGTTGTAATAAATATATCGACAAAAGATGAGGACAATAATAGTCCAAATAATATTTAAATAGTGTGAACAATATTTAAAAGGAATATCCCACATTAGCTAAAAAAGGCTTATTTATTTTCATTTATTTAAAACTCTCAACCTTAAATAACATCAAAAATAAGAAATAAGAAGCGAGAAAGATTAAATTCAACTAAAGATGAAATGATGGTCTGCTTATCACACATTCAACCAAACATTGAAGAAATCATGAAAAAACACCAGGCACAAGCTGTACAAATATTTGAATAGAAACATTGAAATAAAGTAAGTTTGTATTTGTGTATATATTTTTAAAAAATCTATGGTTTTATTTCATAACATTTAAATGTATATACCCTTTAAAAATTTTGCTAAGTGTGCCGTGATATTTTCATTTTTCCTACGTGTGCCATTGCTTAAAAAAATTGAGGAATACAGCCGTATGGTGTCTCATATCTTGAAATACTGACATCTATAGAATTTAATTTCAATTCACTTGGATTTCAGATTTTCACACTTGAATACAGGCTGACCAAGATGTTTTCTTATAGACCTTTCATATTTACAGAAAAAAGTTTATTCGTAGCAAGACATCAACATGTAGGAAAGAAAGGAAAAAAATACAGTCAAGCAATAAAAAAAATATGCCTACTTTCTGTATCTTCTTTTAATGCAGCTTATGGTCACATTGCATTGAAACGCTGGTTCCAGTACGATCACCAAAGTTAAGCAATATCAAGCCTGGTCAATACTTAGATGGGTAACCACTTGAGAGTATCAGGTGCTGTAAGCTAGGATGAGTGAATGGTTTAATAAATAATGTCTCAGAATCAGAGAGCAGAGTTTCAATTTCTGTTCATTGTCTTCACTTACATGCAAATGACCTTGGGAAAACTATGAATCCAGCTCTTCTCCTCCCAGCTATGGGTTAATTAGTAAGATTTGTAATACTAAACCATTATTATCTTAAAACAAACATTCTTACAATTTATAAATATTTTCTGGATTGAAATAACCTGCAAAGGGTTGATGAGCCGTAGAAAACAAATCAATCAATAAATGAAATACTGATTAGCTACACAAGCATGAATTTTATATTTATTTACAGTCTCTGGAATATAAATTTACAGAGGGATCAGTTTCTACACTGACTGTAATATAGAATTGATCCCCCATTTTATATCCACATAACTTCTTGTTTGTTTATCTAATTCTGATTAGGTATGAATTTGCCATTCATATCTTCTCCCCAAGCTATGGATTAATTAGTAAGACTTGTATCAATAGAGCATTTAAAAAAATTCTTAAAATTTAAAAAAAAATATTTTCTGGATTTAAATAGTGTGCAAAAGGTTGATAAACCATAGAAAACAAATCAATCAATAAACAGATATAGGAAACTGCAGGAAGCTCTACAGAAATTAATAAAGAAAAGCAAGAATAAAAGACTAACCAATGTAAGAAGATGAAATGTATGGCAAGAGCCTAAGATACAAACTACAAATCGGATATACCAACAATCAAGTAAATACAATAGTTGGGAAGTGGTTTAACAGAAAATGAAAATGTGACACTGAAATCTGAAGTTACATTGGAATAGTAAAAGATGTTTTACAAAAGCTAAGCAAAGTATTAAGAAACAGGAAAATTTTGGTAGAAACAAAGAAAAAAGTACTGAACTGTTTTGTAATATTGGTCTTTCTATATGGCAGTGAATGCTGGACAATTGCTTCACAAATCAAGAAGAAACTTGAAACAATTCAATCTGGGTTATGTGTATTGACAAGGAAGAAAATATCATGTTAGAAAGAAGAATCTGCAATGTTATACATCCTGTCCTGGCAATGCAGCTTCAATTACATTCCCACTGCTATAACCTTACTTCTATGCTTTTTCTACAAATATTTTCATTGCAATTGTCCTAATGAGTTCACCTCTTTGGTACCTCAACTTTATGAATTTAAGCATGGTACTAGATTGGCAGTTAGGTCTCATAATTTCACTGCTGAAATTGCTCATTGTAACCATAAGTTCTATGCTAATAGTTTCTTCTCTCATACTTCTCACCAGTGGAACCCTTTTCTAGTTTCTTATTTTTCTGTCAACTAGAATCTCCAAAAATGTAAAAGCTGTCTTCTGTTTGTTTAAAATCTGTTCTTTTATTGTCCTTTCTCCTCAGTAATGTTTTTTTTCAGTTTCCAACACACTCAGTTACTCCTGTCATCTCAGTAGCTTTATTGCCTTGGAGTTAATGATTAAAAAAATATTATATATATACATATATATATATATATATATATATATATATATATATATAAATGTGAATGTCAGTGTGCCCCTGTGCCAAACTTTTTGAATGAAAGGGACACAGCACTTTAAATTTCAATTGCTCCTGTTACAGGAATTTTGAATTCCCAAGCTTTCATTACTACAATCATTTTTTTTTCATTTTTACATGATTTTTTGTGACAAATTATTTTGTACGATAACAATTTTATTAACATAAAACATGGAAATAAATTGGGGTATAATTGAAATTAATTTCAAAATCCCGCAAAAATCAGTCATGAAATAAAAATAATAGCTTGTACAGAAATTAAGGACATATATACATCAAATTGTCTTCACATTAAGTGGTTACAGAAAAAATATCATTGAAATTTTAAAAGGTATGCTTAAATATTAATGCAATACTTAAATGAAGCGATCAGTTTTGAGTTGTTCTGTAGTTTATTGTTGCCAATCGCATATAACAGCAGTATGCCTCTCTAAAAGAAATCTCCAGCAACAGAAGACCAGATTGCAATGGAAAGAGCCAAGGCTGCAGTGAGGAAAAGAAAGCTCCAGAACAAATGGCAGACAGGAGAGCTTCCAATGCTGAGAATATGCAAAGACTTAGGGAATTTTAAACACTTGTAAAGACAAAGGCAGAATCAAGAGCTCACTACAGAAGCTAGCTTAAATGCCTGCACACATATATATATATATATATATATATATATATGTGTGTATGTGTGTGTGTATGTATGTATGTATTTGTGTGTTTATATGAATACACATATGTATGTGTATATATAAAAACACACACACACGTTCATGTATGTATGTAAATATATATATATATATATATATATATATATATATCTACACACGCTGTTTGAGTATATATATATATATACATATATATATATACAGACATATATGTGTATGTATGTATATATATACACATACACATACACACATATATAACACACACACATATATATATATATATATATATTTTCTCTCCAACCTACAATTGATATACTGGATTGTATTCATTCTTTCATCTAGATTAAAGTTATCTCAATTTGTGCTATAGTAATTCTTCTATTGACCTGTACTTTGTAGGAAAGCGTCTGTTCACTTCTCACATCAATTCTTAACCACTGTCGTAGGTACCCACACACTTGAACCCTAGGCACCCTAAGCCATGCCTTTTAAATGCTCCCATTCTTCTTTAATAATTTTGGCACATATCAAAATCAGTGAAATCTTTTTGCCAATAGAAAATGAAGGCCAGAGGCTGTTTACTGCTATATACCTCTGACAGTTATGGGACAGTAGCTGTCATTCTTGCCCATGTTATATTCAAACATAACAGTTTGTTGGGGATGTAGATACATGCAAATGAACAGATGTGCAAGATGAAATGTTTACTGACCTTTACTGATTGTATCATGTTGATGCTAATCCTTCAGCAACTCCAGAGATAACATAATAATCCTCATCTGCCTGCTCTTTGTGCAACTTTATTTCAACCTTCTCTTCTGTTTCAGCTAACTGAAAGACAAAGGCTTTCGAGACAGAGCTGTGTGCTCCCTCAACATTGCCAAGCATAGCAGCACTCTTAACAAATTGACCAGTAGTCATCTTTAACTCTGAAAATTCAACAGAACAAAATTTACAAAAATCAACAGACCATAACCTTTCCCCCATTGATAAAAAAAGTAACCTCAAAAAGCAAAAGACACCATATTATTGGCATCTTTTTGTTTTGATGCAGTTACTGATTTTTGATTATTTTAAATTTATTCAAGAAGGTTTAGAAATAATTAAAAATGAAAAAGCCAAATATGATATTTAGACCTTGCATGAAATAAAGCCTTAATCATGTGCAATAATTTTAAATTTAAATACAAGCAACTATTTGGTACTATGATTTATTCAACAAAATGTGATGTAAATTTAAATTAAGAGCTTAAAAAATAAATAATTTGTAAACTTGATATAAAAAAAAAAAAGAAAAGAAAATTTGAATCAAAAAGAATTACCTCGCCTGTGTTGTGCAAAGAGCTTCCACACTTCTGTGTAGTTTTGAAGTTGGGTATCAAAGAGACTCTATTTGTTATTTGCTTTTTCTTCAAACCACTACAATTAAAAAG